GTTTATTACTTTTAATAAAATAATAATTTCTATTAAAGAAGTATTAAATATAAAATAGTTATTATAAACCCTTTAAATATAATTTTAGACCTTAAATCTAACTTTAAAAATATAATATTAAGCTATAAGTTTTAGACTAGAATAACTTATAAGAAGGGTTATATTAAAAGAACTTATATAGTAAATTCTACTAAATAATCTATAAACTAATCTATATCTTCGATAAAAGTATACTATATAAATAGAACCTACTATAGATATAATTAGTATAAGAATAATAATTCTATAAGTAGATATTAGATATATAAGAAGCTAGGTTATAAGTTATTTAAGTACTTATAGAAGAAAAAGAATTCTTAGAAGAATAGGTTTTAGACTAGGTTCTATAGCAAGTTTAAGGGAGATCATTATAAGAAAGACTTTAATAAGTAGTATAATACTTTTATTACTTAGTTTAAGTTCTAGGAGATAAGTAAATTAACTACTATAATATATATAATAAGTCTTAAGGATTTAGATAATAACTTAAGTAAAAGTAAAAGTATACCTTTTTATAATATTATAAAGTATTTTATAGTTAATATACTTAGTAATACTAATATAAGATAGCTTATGAACTAATTAAACTATATATCTACTATATGCTAGCTTAAGTTTTATACTATATACCTAGAGATTATAAGAAGCCGAGATTTTAGAGTTATAGTAGTACTTATAGTAGATAAGTGTAACGAATACTCAAACTGGCTAACTAAACTTGGCTGGGTGTTCGCTGGTTGGTATGCTATGATAAGAAGAAGACTATCGGGTTGTTCACTTGGAAGTGAACTCGTTACTTGTATCAAAGATGTCAAACTAATATGATAAGATTGATAACTAAGTTGAGCACGAAGCTCCTATCTAATGGCAGACGTTGCCAGTCTTATATAGAACCTCTGTTCTCTGTTCTAACTGTTGGATCGCCGGGGTCGCTTGTCTACCGAGTCGACCCAGACGACTGGAGCGCTCGTCGCTCCAGGCGACCCAACTTGTCACGTGACACTAACAAAAGGAAATCCCTGGATCGCTTAGCTAGCCCAAGCGATCCCATTTGCTACAAGAGCGTTCAATAGTGCTTGACTTGTCAGGACGCCGCCTGGTCTTCACGTCTCACGTGACAACACGTGATTCGTGACAGTAGTAGTAGAAGTATATAAGATTAAAGTAAAGCAATAGGTTAATAAGGTATTAAATACTTAGAATAGTTTATTTAATTAGATTGAGAATCTACCTCTTAGAGCTAAGGTTTAGGTATAGCATAAGTATAAGAAGTAGTAGAGACTATATATCTTATAAAGATATAAAGGAGAAGATATAATTATTAAGATTAAAGGTAAACTAGTTTAATTTTAATTTATAATTATTAAACTATAATATATAAATAAGAATATATCTAATCTTTAAGATCTACTAGATATAGACCTTAAATATAAAGATATTATAAAGTATTTTAATAAATACTCTAATAAGGATTAACTAAAGTAAGAATATAAATAACCCTAAAAGTTAAAATAAATTAAGCTAGATTCTAATAAAGATAAATAGAATAAAGAGGATCCTATACTACTAAAGCGTAGTTATAGATAACTATAAAAGACTATAGCTATTTATTATACTAAGGTACTTCTAGTTTATAAAGAAAACAATATTATAGAACTAAAGTACTAGGTATATTTTATAAATAATTGTATAATATATTTAGTATTTAATAATTCTAGATAAATTAAGATAAGTAGATTAACTAATAATAGAGTTTTTAAGGTTATTACTATTAATTAACTACTATTAAATACTTATATATTTAGTTCTTAATTTATTAATATAATCAAAAACAAGAGTACCTCTAATGTATTTAAGAAATCTAGACTTATAGTTAAAGTATTTAATAATAATAGAAAGTCTTTATTTTTAATATAATTACTTATAATCGAAAAGGTTAGTATATAAATTATTATTATACTTATAGTAATTAAGTTCTATAAGGATCTAATAATTAAACTCTAGCTATAAGATATTATTTAGATATATACTTAATTAATAATAAACCTTGATTACTTTATATTTATATAAGGACTAAAGAGTAGCCTATAATAAGAGAAGTTATACTTTAAGATTATTAAACCTTTATATAGTATCCTTAAATTAAGTAACTACTAATATAATATATATATTAAATACTATATAGAGAAGCTAGATATATAGTAATTAACCTACGATTTCTACTTACTTTATATAAATAAAATAGGATTTTAGGGTATAATTAGACTTTAGACTAATAATACTCTTATCCTTAGTAATATTACCTTTATAAATAAGAAGAAAGTAAAGTTAGCTATATTTAAATCTAAGCTAACTAAAGAATTAGCTCTAGATAAACCTTTAAAATTTAATGGTAATAGGATTACCCTAGTAAAGAATAGTATTATTATACTTACCTATAACTATAAAGATTAAGTTAAATTAGTAACTAATAAAGTTACTAATATTATTAGCGCTTATAGTATTATTTATAAGGATTATTTTATAAAGGATTAATATATTACTTAATAAGTACTAGGAGCTTATATAGCTATAGTATACTAACCTAAGGTAGTATTTAATTTAAGTATTATAATATAAACTCTAAACTCTAAGAAGAGCGATATTAATATATTAAATAAGCGTCATTAATAGTTAATTAATAATCTAAAGCGTAGACTTAAATATATACCTTTAGATATTAACTTACTAAAGCTTATATTATTTATAAATACTTCTTTTATAAACCTAACTAACCTTTCCTGTTAAATAGGCTATGTTTTATACCTAGTAAATAAGAATAAGAATATAGTTATTTTATACTAGAGTTCTATAAAATATAGACGAAGTATATAAAGTATATTAGTATCCGAGTTATATACTTTAAATAGTAGGTTTAATATAGTAAGGGTTATTAAGTTAACGCTAGAAGCTATTCTAGGTAAGATACTTAAATTAATAATTTATATAGATTATAAGTTAATATATAAATACTTAATAAAACTTAATATAATAAAGGAGAAGCGTCTTATAATTAACGCAATAGTATTATACAAAGCGTATAAATAATGTAAAATCTATAAGATCCTTTAGATTAAAAGAACTATAAATCCTACTAATATAATAATCAAATTAAAGCTTTACTAGGTATTAGTTATACTTATTAATATAAATAAGATTAGGATTATAGTCGAAGAGTAGGTTAAATATAAAGAAATTAGTAAAGGACAAAATAGTAATAATATAGAGAATTAGTAGATTTAGATAGATTTATAAATTATAAAGTATTAATAGACTTAATTAATATTAGAAGAGAAATTAACAGATTTAATTAGTTAAGAACTTTAGATAATTAGTTATTTGTACTAAGTCTTTTACTTCTTTTAAAGTAAGCCTAGTATCGCTATAATATCCGAGTAAATATACTCGGTAGTACAGACCACCTGACTAGGCTGGCCCTGCCTATATTATAGCGGTACGACTTCCGCACCTCTGACTCGGTGTATATCAACAATAGGAATAGTCTAATACTAAGGTTTAGCCTCTTCCTATATCACACCTTTCATATTTAATAATAAGTCAAACCAACACTATTATTCGAAGTGATTTAGGACAATCAAGGTCATTTTTCTAAGAATTCTAGTATACTAGGTTCTTAAGGTGTGTGTAGAGTTTCGCCCAACTGTCTTACGTTTCCTGCTCTCTGGCAGGAAAAAGATAACGTTGTTGGTAATCCCTGCCTCGCTGCTTGCTTTTGATGTCCATCGTCCTCGCGTGATATAAGGACACACCATTTGAGGCATCTGAACTACTAGAGTCTAGTTAGTGGCTTTGTATATTCCCCAATTGACCTTTACCAGTAGTATCCTACCAGTTTAATTTGTGCCAGTACTGAGGACGTTCTACCCACCGATTGTATGTAAATTACGGTGTAAGAGATATAGTTGTACTAACATCGTGATGAGCGCAAGTACCAAGAGTTATGACGAACTTGAAACGAAGTTGTATATATTTAGTAATGAGGGGATCGTAAAGTAAATTGCTAACTTGTGGTCCTAGCGCTTATCACTTTGATGCCGTATATGCATAGTATATCTAAGTTTCTGGGCTTATGATTTCCTATTTGAGCGGTCGGACAGGTCGGAATAATACCTAGGCGCGCTACGGGGCTTGATCCGACTTGCTCCGCACTACTTCAGTAGTAATACTGTTTTTTATTAAGACTAAAATTAGGCATCGCTAACCCAAAATCCTAAATGTATATATACACACGGCATCGAAGGGATGATCGGAGAATTAATTAAAAATAATTAATTTTACTTTCGAAGGATCTCCTAATAGCTTGTAAGGATCTAAAAGTAGTCATTTTAATCTAAGACTAATTTGTTCTTAAAATTAACCTACTCGTCACTTTTGGTGACGACTTATGTAAAGTCAAAGGGTGGGTATACATAACAAATTCCTGTAAAGCGCATTTTACTTTCGTTCTTCAACCTTTCTTTCATTACTCACTTTAAGAGCATTTGTTACGATGAAGTCTATCCAAGTCCTTTTATGTCTTCTTTTGATAAGCACGTCTCTCTCTTTGAAAATTACTATTCAAAAACCTCAGAAAGCTTCTAGCTCTTTTAGATCTCTCTACTCTTCCCTTTCTAAAAGATGGGAGATCTGGATGAGTGGCTTCCCACTCGAGCCCACAAGCGGAACGTCAGGCACTTTAACAGCCGATAATATCACCGATATAGTTGACCAACTTGCTACCCTATCTAAATACATTGTGGAAAACGTAAAAAATGATGATGCTACGTTTATCCATTTTTTTGGGTCTCCAAAATATTATCAAAATGTTATGGGTTCGTCTTTTTGCTCACTTATATTCACTTTGTACGCACGGGGAAGGCGAGGGGGGCTGGACATCCTAGTATCTGGAAGGAATAGGACTAATGTCTGTAGATGTTTTCTCTCGCCTCGCAGATATCAGAACCGGAGCCGTTGGCGCAGAAGAAGAATTACACATTATCACAAACATGGACGGAGGACGCATTGGTCCTGGTGGTGAAGCAGAAATCGCAGCTTTCTCGTTTCAAGAATTGGTACCGACTATAACCCTATTCAGTCCTTTTCGGGATCTAGATGATATCTTCCGGAAAGGCCCTGGTCACAATGAAGTTGGCCAACTAGTATATCTACGCCTATCAAGGCAAGCCCAACTTTTGCATGAGTTGATACATTTTGTTACGAATAAAATCCATTATCCGCCTATAGTACCCAAGTACAAAGACAGTGGTACGTCCTACTCTACTCACTCCCTTGGAATGCTGAAAGTTGATATTGACATTTACAATAGTCAGTTTTCTATTTTCAGCCGCTGTAGACGTCAAACTTGCCGATGCATGTGGTTGGGGGGAAAAGGTATATAAAATCCTGTTTTCTTTCTCGTATTAAGGCTGAACACTATTCTAGAAATGGATTTTCAACAAAGCGGATCTCGTATTCGAGAGTAAAGAAGAGTTGGAAAGAGCCGTAGCCTATGGCGAGTTTAAAACTCTCCTTCTAGCCCAGTTAAAAAAGGGTCCAAGATATGCAGTTCATAATGCTGATAGCTATGCAATGTTTGCTATCGGTAAGCTCAACTCGAACCATTTCATACTTTTCTTCATGATCAGAATACTAATTCAAGTATATGAAGCGTTACTGGTCAATTGGAATCTTAACGGGGCAATCATGCCTCAAAGGGGGGAGCCAGTCTTTTGGTTAAAAACCGCTGTCAGAAGGGATCCATTTGCGCAGTTACCGCCAATATTTGACATCCCTGGAGAGTGGAGATACAAGTACTTTTGGGGGCGAACAGGAAGAAACGTGGGGATCGTATCGGATGATGATGACTAGGACAAAGTGCATACCATTATTGACAACCTGCAAGACGTCCTCGCTTAAATGGTGAGGCAATCTCCTTGATGTAGACAGAGGGGGTTTGTTTGTGTGTATCTGTCCCAAGGACAAAACGGGAGACTGTTTGAAGAAGCTGCGAAATATCGATGGTATGAGGAGAAGAGCTAGTTAAGGGCAAAGGGGGAGTCTTGTAGGACGCTTCTGACCGAGTGGAAGCTGCTAGAATGCTAGCTAAGCACCAAGCAACTGAGACAGGGGTCCAGGCAACAAAGACAGGAGTCTCGGCTAAGGGACTCGTCTATGACTAATGGGAGCGTTCCGCGACAGTACCCCGGGAACTTGTTCCTGGTTATGAAGCGTTTGGAAGTTTTCCTCTTCTTCTCTTTCTTTGCTGAGATGGGTGGACCAGCAGAAGTAAATCTTGAATGCTAGGGAAGTCCTCTCATTAGCAAGGAGCTTGCCAAGATAGTACATCTATCTAGGTTAGATGGATTTACACTTCTATGTTTTTAGTATTTACAAAAGTGTTGACTTTCGAGCGAGGTTCTAACAAATGGTCACACTGGGGGATGTAGCCTCTGGGGGGAAGTTCCTCATAGACCTAGATCCCGTATAATAGATACAGCATCAGTGATTGGGAAGATGAGATGTTCCGATACCTTTTCGTGTCAAATCTTATTTGCTCTGCCTCTTCCTGTATGTAGTTTGTTTACTCATTGTGGAATGGGTAATACTATAAATGGCCTTCAGGCACGTCGCAAAAGTTTTCTTTGAGAATGCATCAGGTCTCTATATCGAGGAATTTACGATCTAGGAGGGGTAGGTACCTGGAGACATGATTCTCTCGACGGCTTTGAGTGGTTTCCTTGAGTTATGTAAACTACGAAAGTCACAAGTGATAGGGAGGCAAGCTATTGGGAAGAAAATGAGCCACATAGATACTTAATAGACCGTAATCCACAAAAAATGCATCTTTCAGCGTCTTCAAAACAACTACTCAAATTCTTAAGTCTACTCCAGTAGTGCTCAAGTTGAGTTAAAATGAGTATAAGTAAGTGGTTCACTGAATTAAGTTGAGTAGTTATATATAAACCGTGACTTACAATGAAGAAATTATCCCTAAATACCAAGTATTTTGTAGCCTTTTCCCACAAGTAGTAATTATAGCTGAAAGGTATAATAGCTAATGGTATTATCATAGACTGGCGTTTACTATTGAAAAAGGATAAATGCCCGACTCTAATACACTCGGTTGTACCACGCTTACAAAGAGGGTGGACAGTTCGGTCTGTCTGCCCTAAATGCGGAGCGAATATAGGTAGGGTCATTAACAAATACCGTTGCTTATTTTATGTCATTTTTTACCGAGTTTGGCCACTTTTGATCTTATTACATAAAACGCTCGAAATCGCCTAGCAACAGCACAAAAACTGTATGAATCTATTTAAAGCCAGCGGATAATACCCACCTATATTCGTTCCGCTTTTGGGGGTGGATAGACCGAACTGTCTATCCTCTTTATGTTACATAGGGACACTCGCCTAATTCTGATTGCCTAGACCGGCCCTCCGGCGTACCGTCTACTCGAATAAGTCATGATTTATTCGAGTAATTAGCGAGTTGAGCTAAGTAGCAGTTTTTGCGACTTAAGTTGACTTAAGGAGGTGCCACTACTAAACCTAACTACTCGAATTTAATACGCTTGCATCTCTTAAGCAAAACACGACTAACAATATAATATCACTCTACCATACTTGGAGATAGATTACTTGACTATAAACAATAGGTCATCTCCACCAGGCATATTCATAACCATCAATTTGTAGCATGTTCAGAGAGAGAACTTCTCAAGTTAGACGCAATGCCGATTATTCAAGATACGTAAATGCCTCGATTATTTACAATACTGGGTATCAAACGCGCTCGACTCCACAAGAGAACAACTTCCACAACTCAGAAATCCAAATTCGCATCCTCCTCTTCTCACCAACCATGACCCTACCCCGTCCATTTTCAAACTTGGGGTCCTCGCTCTCACATTTGGCCTCCTTCTCTGAAGAGACACTCTCAGCCCCAGCCGCATTCTCCTCATCTTCGCCTCTCCCCGCATTCCCAACACGAGTCTTCCAAGCCGGCGTACCAAGCCCCTTGATACTCCCAGGCGTCGTATCATCAAAGATATCCTCACTGACCTCCAGAGGCTTCTGACTGGTCTCGGGGAAGAGGAAAAGGACATGGATAAACATGGCTGCGCAGAAGACTCTGAAGACGATATACACCTGCCATCTAATGTTCTCAAAAGCAGGAGGGACGAAGTACGCGAGTGCGAAGTTGAACGCCCACTTTGCGGAGGTGGTTAGCGCGACGAGTTTCCCTCGTACGCGGAGGGGGTATAGTTCTGAAGGATAGATCCATGAAACGGGACCCCAGGTTGGGGCGTAGCTGGTTACGAAGAGATACGTGCAGGCGATGATGGCTTTGGCGGGGGGGCCCGAGACAGCGATGGATTCTGCGGCGCTGGGGAATTTGTTGGGCAGTGGTGTTGTGCCGTATTGGGCGAAGAGACCGCCGTTGGCGAACATGAAGATCATCATGAGGATGGCTCCGATGAGTAGTGTTGGTCGAAGTCCCCATCTGTCTACGTAAATGAGAGCTGGGATTGTCATAATCACGTTGATTATGTATGTGATCGAGCTATAGCATGGTTAGTAAGAAAGGTGTTTGTTAGGAGATGATATTCCTACCTTGGAAGGAGGACCGAATCACCTAGACCAGCCATAGTAAAGACGTACGTGATATAATCTGTGCGAAGTTAATAAAGTGTACCGAATCTCGAGAATTCTTTCAAGAGAAATGGGGATGCTACATACACATCATCACGTTCATGCCGGTAAGCTGACTCCAGATCTGCGTAAAGATACCAATGTGGGTGCGATTTAGCATCTTGGGCTTAAAGAGTTCCCAATATGTTACATCAGCATTGGCTTGTTCAAATTCAACCACTTCCCGAATTTCCGACAGCTCTTTATGGACGAATGGAGAATCATGATCACCATTGGCGTGTGTGATCGCAAGAATGTGCTGAGCTTCATCCCAGCGACCTTGACGAGCAAGCCAGCGAGGGGACTCGGGAAGGAAAAGCATGGCGCAGAAGAGGAAGATTGCTGGCAGCATTTGCAATACCCATGGCACTCGGAAAGCAGCCGTGCCATCGATGAAGGAACATCCGTAGGAGATATAGAACATGATCAAGATTCCCCAAGTAATGGCCCTAAATTTCAATCAGCGGTCTAGCCTGAGAGTAAGAGGGATCGCTTTGGTAAGAAAGAGTGCATACCATTGTTGACAACCTACAAGACGTCCTCGCTTAGACGGTGGGGCAATTTCCGTAATGTAAACTGGCACTTGAGCAGAGCAAATACCAACTGACAAGCCGTTGATCAGTCGGCCACCAATCAACATACCAATACTGGTCGAGGCGCAGACGATTACTGATGATAATATTAGGCAAAACTCCAGCTTTCCGGCAGTTATAGGTACTTGATCCAATGCACCAAATTACCGAGCCAATTTGGATTGCTCTCTTGCGGCCTAGCTTATCGGAGATATAACCAGAGCAAAGAGAACCAAGCCATGAGCCACCGGGCATGACAGCAGTGATCCCGCCTGTTGAGTCAAGAGTCAATTTCTGCTTCTCGTGAAGTTGATGCAACGAGTGGTGGAAATACCTTGTACATCGGTTGATGGACCAGAACACTTGCCATCGGTCGCAAGGTATAGAGGTCCTTGGTTGTAGTAGCAGAGATAGGCTTCCGTAGATATAATGGCTGACATGGAAGAAATATCGAAACCAAAAAGCGCCCCGCCCACAACAGCGACGGCGGCGATGACGTAGATGTTACCTATTTCGTACATCTTTGCTTCTGTCTGGATGTGCCAAGTAGTGTTTGTGTTACAAATGACTTGAATGAAGCGTGCACATGAAAAAGGCAGGGCGGGAGAAGAGAAGTATTCATATAATAGTCAGCGCGGCTATTAGCTCAAAGCTCAACGGCCTCGTCACCCGGAGAGAGAGGTGAGCTGGGGAAAGCTGAGAACCGTGGAGTTGGCGTATTCGATTGGCTGTGGTTTGACTGACGGTAATACAGCCTAGTCGTTGCGATATCGTAAGTGGCTGACTCTTTCCGACTTTAATTTTGAAGCTATCGTGGATCTAAATGTGGCTACTGTCGGCTTCTATGCAATGATGACGCTTGTCACTCACAACTAAGCTGCCCACCTTTTTTGACATTAGGTAAAGTCAATGACCGAGATATATTTACATGAAGCTGAAGAGACTGATTGTTGATATGGACTTGCAGCTTTCAGCACAGAAAGTATACACAGAGCAGATGTAGTAGTACTCAATACAGATGTTCAACCGTACTGGTAAAGTGAAGTACCAAAAATGCAACAAGCACCAGAATAATAGCGCTTTGATGACCATGCAACAATGGACAAAAAGGTTGCAACAAGCTCAATTGGCACGCTAGCATGCCTTTAGTCATTTCTAGAGCTCCAAGGAACTTATCCCGCTCCCTTGATGGCTACTAGTTCATCTTGTGCAACAGACACCTTAATTCTTTTGCTTTCCAAAACCATCAGACATCTTTTTCTACAATAGACCCGAGCTTTCAAGTTGTGCTTCCTGCTAGTGGGACAATTAGCTCAAATTCCCGAGAAATAAAGATCACATTGAAGTCCTCGCCGATAACCGCTCCGAGGTCACCGAAGAAAACACCACGTGATCGAGACCCCCTATCCCAAAAGGGAGGGTCTTCCTTGGGAAGGCTCTGTCCAGCTCCCTTATCACAACCAAAGCGAACCCAGAATTCGCTGCTCCATTTGATAAGAATTTGAGTGCATAACAAGAATCTCGAACGTACTTCATAGAAGTCCCGCGGCGTCTTCCCGAAGCGCAGCTACGGAGGGACCCCCAAAGGTTATTTTACCATAACCGAAGGAGGGTTCTCGAGGTAAGAGATACATCATAAACATTACGCTCTCGGGTCCTAGCATCAACACCATTTCACGTCTCTTTTTTGTGAGGGCTTCGAGACGATTTGTTGAAGTCGCTGTGTCCTGTTGCATTTTCCTCTCTGTTCCAAGTGTTGTCAGAGAGCTTGTACTACCAACATATAGGTATCAGGCAGAGGGATCTTCGTTTCAATCCATAATTTCTTCCAGCAAGGTCTTAGTATATTCTCATTGCTCTTCTCTTGAGCTTCAGTATCGGCATTTGCAGCGTTGAACACCAATCTCCACCACCTAGCAAACCGAACAAACCAGCAATCATGGCCTGTGCGTATTCCTACTCTTTATAGCTACGAGTATAGACAAACTAACAGCCCAAAAAGCTTTTTTGAATACCACCTATGCCGTCGAAGTCATCACTACCCTCCCACCCTCCATAACAAAACCCCAAGTCCTCTCCCTCCTACACGATCGGATCTCAATGCTCGACCTAAACCCCCTTCTAAAATCACACACTCTCCTCCCTCCACCGGCAAGCACAAACTTCTACGCCACCGTCCCGGCCGAGCACAAGGATTTCACCACCGCCGAGATCGAGGCGCTGCCAATTTACAAAGTCGTGGAGGGCACCGGACCGGAGGAGCAAGAAGGAGGCTCGTGGCGTGGAGGATGGGCGAAGAGGATCATACCCGGGGAGATTATTTACGATACGAGTATGCAACTGCGCGACGATGGCATGATTACGTTGACGCATGCGCCTATGGGAGTTGGGACTGTTACGACGTGGACCGTCAAGGAGGAGGGGGGGAAGCTGATTTTGGGATTAAAGGGCGTGGTTAGTGCTAATCGGATGTTGATGGGGTTCATCAGGACGACTTTGCAAGGGAGTTATGATAAATTGGCTGCGGATTTCGTGGCAGAGTTGGAAAAGAGGGCTAGAGAGGAGGGAGTCGCCAAGGATGGTGCTGCTGTTGGCGGGGTATAAAACGTGCCTTCATTGAATCGATGGGTAAGGTTTTCGATGAACGGATTTCGGGAACACGCTGGTTATTGGGATCAATTGAGGTAATGGTGATGCGCATGCACCAGCTTATTAGAACCTGTAACAATAATATACGATGGCGGTGGCAGAGGAGATTTTAGACTCGCAGTGGCTAGTTAGATACCAATAAGTCGAAAGGTTTTCATTCAAGAACTTCGATTTGTAGCTCTCAAGGATTCAACTCCAACTAATCTATTCTCGCGTTGGGTAAGCTTGGAATGCAGATTTTCGAAAAACGGAACCAACTGGATGTTAGTCTAGTGCCTTATGGGTTTTTCTGCTATGCGTTCGATGATGCCCGGGGCTCATGTGATTGTTTGTCTCTTGCAGACAATTGAGAAGTAACATCGTCATGGAAGTTCAAGGTTAGTTGCATGGTACTCTTCTAACAACGTAAAGAGTTACCTCGGAATGATCAAGGAGTAATCTAGTCATGGTGGACTTAAGAAGTCTCTTTCAGACCAATCCTATAGGTTTTGTTACCCAAGGGCCTTCCCACATCGTCCATCCATTTCCTTCTTCCAAGGAAACGGCTTTCTCTTTTACGAAATTTTTAGCCCTAGATTCATCCTCATTATCCTCGAGGCACTGCTCCATGCTAGCCATCTCCTGTCTGAGTTTGTCGAGATTTCCAACTTTAATACCGTGTCCGGTAGTTCCTAAAGAAGTAGCACCCCGATTGGAGATGTTACGATGCAACTCCAAGCATCTCAATAAGATCTTTGAATCCTTCTCGGTCCATTGAACTTCGGTGATCGCCATGAGCAATTCATCCTCCTCCCAATTCGACAAGTGGCTCTGCAACTCTCTCCTCCTCTCATCGTTCTCCTCCCCAACCACCCTTTTCACAAATTCCCTGCACTCAGTGACCCCTCCTGCTTCTTCCCGCCCATCGTCATTGGCAGTCAAATTAACCCAATAGTACTCCCATATCCACATCAACGCCTTCTGGGTTGCAGTCCTCAGTTTCGAGAGGGATGGGAGCTCCTCATGCGTAGCTTGATGTCGAAGTTCCACGTATGTAGCGGGAAGACCGATGGATTTCGCAATGGAGTACATGCTCATCTTTTTCTGTTTTACCTGATGCCCATCAAGGAGGCCCGTGACGAACCTATTTTCAAGGTTGTCAGTTGACACATCCAGGTCGAAACATTTGGAGTTGGAAAAATTGCATGGAACGAACGATACGTAGAGCTCTATTGGAAGGGGGGCTTGAGAGTCAATAGTGCGAATATGAATTCGCGGGATAAGCCTCCATGGGGATAGGATGACTCGGGTGTTTGGCCATTCCGTCTTCCTTATGGCTTGCGAGATAGCTGTGGAGATACTTCTTGGACAATGCAGGATGTTATGGAAGGTAAAGAAGAGATGAGGATTGCGTTTCATGTTGCCAAACTCCGAGCCGTCAAACCTGATCCAACAACCTGGGTGCAGTACGCAGAAAAACAAGTGTGAAACAGCTGGAATCCAGCATGAGTGGAAAATCTTGCATGAGCGAATACATGAGCCATGACATGGAAGAAAAGTAACAAGAAACATAGAATGTGGACTGTGACAGCGCAAGCCTCTCCTCCGTTTGCTAAAGTGTGTATCCAGACCACTTTTAAGTTGTAAATCCTCGCTCCACTCCGCTCCATTTCACTTGAAACATGGACGAGTGCGACGAAATTCTATTTGCGAGTTGCAATCCATATCTCTTGTTACATCGAAGTAACTTTCCAGTTGGAGTCCATGGGCACGAAAGCAAGGTAACCATTGAATCCAGGAGATCCAGGAAAATTGTGTAAATTCGGAGTTGATGAAAGTCCGCAATATAACCCTTACTCAACACGGATCCAGGGCATCCAACGAAATTATTTGCGGAAGGCAGGCCGGCTGGCGGAGACAAGATGACGAAATATCCATGCTTGAAGATCGAGATCCCACAATATACTTCAGCTCTCAAAAGCAATCTCACAAGCACCACATTGCCGGTATCGTTGCCTCAAACCAAAACACACAATCGGCACCTTGATAAGTGTAGAAAGCAAAGGCAGAAGAGAATGAAAGTTACTTACCGACAAAAGGCGCCTCCATAAGCGGCTCTTACACAATAACTTGAGTTTCCACCCCTCTCATCATTCAGGACCGCCGCCGCGAGAAGAGCCGTACTCTCTACCAAGTGAGGGCAATTTCCTCTTTGCACTGGATGAAAAGTTAGTAGTTGTTCCCCTAGCAATTGCCGTGATGCTCCTCAAGTCTGCATCTCCCATACCGGTAGAAACACCATGCCATGCCATGAAAGAGCCCAATCCAACTCACAACCAATGTCGATCTCAACACAGCCCGACCCCGTCACACACGAGACCATCAGACAACAAAAACAAGCAAAGGAGAAGAAAAAAACCTACTCCAAACCCCAACCCGCTCAACGCCCTCGCCCATCACCTCCCTATGCTCCCCATACAGCGCTTCCCTCACAGCGAGCAACTCAGATTGATGCCGCCATGGCGTAATCACATATTGAACCATCCTTCACCCTTCCCTTCCTATCGCCTTCCCTTCCCCTTTCTGTTCCCCTTCCCCTCCGTTCCTGGTTCACTCGGTCCTTGCTGTTGACCCTAATTTCGTCGGGCGTCTCCACGTATCGTGTACCAAGCAAGAGGGTACCAAGTACCGGCAATGCAAGCAATCAGAGAATAGAATCCTTCGCAGGTCCGCTCAGAACACATCCGAGGTATTGTACCCAGTTCAGTACCGTAATGTACTCCGTACTCCGTACTCAACTGCGTCACAGTCACAATCAAAGCCAAAGTCAAAAAAAGTCAAGAAAACAAGAGGAACCTCAGACCCCAAATCCCAACCCCAACCCCAACCCCCAAAATCCCAATTCCCCACGGAAACCCACCCGCCAAGCCTCAAAAATAAAAATTCCCGACCCAGTCGTGCCACCCACGCGGCCCAGGGCTCGCTAGTCGGGTACATATCCCAAAATAAGTCTAAGCCTAAAAGGGCAAGGTTTTCCATTTTTCTGCCCCTTCTTAGTAGGATTGTATTTTTAGCCTTTTCCGAGGCCCCATACCAGTCACAACCCCGCCGGGTAGGTACCCATAACGGCTTCCGCCGCACATGATTCCATTGGGAGAGATCTTCTCCATCGGAATGGAATGCAAAGGGAAACTCGAAATTGGCCTTTTTGCCCTGTTCCAAATAAATGAAGAAAAAGGTAGAACGAGAAGAAAAAAAGTAGGAAAAACTGTCTTTTCAAGAATTATCACATAAAAGACAGTCTCGGCAGTTGTTTATGATGGATGAGAAGTTATTTTGAGTGTTTTTTTATTGTTGAGGTATTTCGCCAGAAGTGAATCTGCATCTAGTCCTACAGATTTGTCTTCTTTTATGTCTAATTGATGCCATTCCCATGGCATTTGTGTAAAAGCCCTGAGGCAGTCCATTTTCTCCCAAAGAACACCAAAATCCCATCCCAAAAGTCAAGCCGGGTATCCCTTGAAAACCGAGGCACCGATACCATTCATCCCGCTATGCTATGCCCCAAAAAATAACCAAAAGGTAATAATAAACAAGAAAGATCGAAGCCAATAGTTGTAATCAAGACAAGACTTCTTTCGTCGGGAAGAGTCAAGATGTCTAAACCCAATTGCCTTGAGGCATTGTTTGAGTTTCGACAGGCTCGGGCTGCTTCTCCTCCTCCTCCTCATCTTCGCCCTCTCCATCAGCCTCGTCGTCATCCTTCTCATCATCACTTGGAGGAGTCCATCCTTCCTCGAGCTTCAGACCCTTTCCCGCGGGCTCAGGGCGTCGATAGTTGAATTCTAGTAGCTGGTTCATCATTCTGTAATTATCGAGTTGTGGGTCTGGTTCTGGCGACTTGGCAGCTTCAGGAGTATCATATAATCCGAGTCCAACAAGATCATCTCTTGACTCATCATCGTCAAGCGACTGGTAAGGTATCGATTCTTCTGAAGGGAATGACGGCTCAGGATGTTGATTGGGAAGGAAATTGTCAGGTGTGGGTGGTGCAGTGGAGCTCTCGAAGCTGTTGGCCACAAAGCCATTCCATTCGCATTGAGGGTATTGGATTGAGTCTAGATCAACTACGGATGATGGACTATATTGAATTTGTTGCTCCATCAAATACGAAGGCTGGCTCGCAAGATAATGTTGTTGCAAGTCTGGAAAGTATTGTTGTTCGTAGCCAGTATATGGGATAGAGGCTGGAGAAAAGTTTGATACAGGTGATGTGTATCCGGAATAGACAGCAGGAGTTGGAGGTAGGTAGCTGAATTGTTGGTTGTTGAACTCATATGTCGGGGTTTGATAATATGGCTGAGATTGCTGTGGGAATTGCTGTGATGATGGGTGCCAACTGACGGGTCTGCTGGAGCGTGGAGGTACTTGGAGTCCATCATTGGAAATGTATCCAGTCGACATCGAGGGGACAATTTGTTCATCGGCCACTGGCGCCATTCGTCGATATGTACTATCAGCCATAACTGTCCTACGTCTCCCCATTCCCATAGAACCCCGTGGACTGTTGTTGGCACTGTTCGGCTTGACCACGCGCATTGATCCGCAGCTTGCTCTTCCTGTATATGGTGCATTGGAGTTTCTTGAGAAGCGAGTTAAATTTGATAAAGCCATTTGCTTCGACATGTCCTCCAATAATGATTCAACGGTGGAATACTCCACAGCATTCCTCCCCCAATCACCCGAGTTCATCGTCATGGTGTTCATGTTGTTATGAGTGTAAGGATAGTATGTGTAGGTTTAGATGGACGAATAAGTTGTAAGTCAGGTAGAAAAAGGGAAGCGAAGGCATAGATATAGTTCTAGTTATAGAACATGGCAGGAGAAAAACTGGAAGTGGGGATCTGAGAGAAGGGATAGAAGGAGATCTTCACCATGTCAAAGCTAGACTCCCAGACATCGACAACAGAGGACAAATATGAACAGTACCTAGTAAATGACTTATTTAACTTCCGGTATGTCGTCTGTGTCATCTGGCTGTTGATGGATCATCCAACGGACGAGCCAGGATTGTCAGGCGTGGGTATGTCTGAGCTGGCCCGGTCTGAGCTTCTCTTCTGGGGAGGAGCGGGCATGCTGGCTGTCGAAGTCAAAAATATGGTGGAGTCTTAGCCTGCAAGCAGCTGCAACATGCACAGTTCGAGGCCAAGCGGCTCCGACAGGCCTCAAAAATGGCATCCCGCGGCTGGATACGTATGAAGGCGCACAATGCGGTGTGTGAGCGTGTGAGTAAGTAAGTGTGGAGTGAGGAGTGATAAAAGTGGAGCGAGAGGTGTAGGGAACATAGGGAAGGAGCACAGTACTAGTGCGAAAGCTAGGTTGGGATTGGCGCTGGCGTTATACTTCGCCGTCCCATGCGAAATCTTTCCTGGCTGGAGTCACTCGTAGTAACAGGGTAAAAACCCCTAAGAAGGCTACAACCATTTCGCCTGGGACGAAGTATTCAGGTGAGTGATTTGGCTTGCACATCGCGCTCGTTGAGAAGGGAAAAGAATACCTAGGGCTGTAAACAAGCTGGAGGCGCTTGATGGTTTATTGTACACATAGCAAAGCCACTACAGTAGCATGTTGCGTGGTACAGTAGGGTAACTTCTACTGTTACCCTGCACATGAAGGCGCCCCGCTAGCAAAGCGGTCAGATTGTTCTGCCTTTGAGACCTGTTTCCATATGAATCAGTCAGTGAGGGTTCGTCCAAAGGTCAACGGGGCGAGGATGTGGGTAGCGGAGTGCAGCCGAGTGGAGAAAACGAAGAACTTGCACTGCATCGCACGAATAGACAAAACAGGAAACGGGGGTGTATCATAAAGGCGCTGGTGTGTGGTTATCGTCTGACGATCTGACCTTACTTGGGGCTTGAGACTTGGGATCTACTTTCCGTAGTCCATGACCCCCTCGTTAGCCGGGGCCAATCAGGGGCCGGAAAAATGGAAAGGAAAAAGATAGCGAGGTTAGGCGAGGAGTTCATAGATATGTAGAGCGTGCCAAAGTGGCTTGCTGCTGTGTTTGTAGACGAAAACAGCCCGCTAGCCCTTCATCTGGCTTCATTTGATGCACATCACAGCAGACGGCATCCAGTTTGTGACCTTGGTTGTGGTTGTGATCGTGGTCGGTCTGGTCGGTCGTGAATCCGGATCAGCCCCTGTTCTCCTAAGCTGGCAGAATTCCCGACCGCATTCCCGCATCGCATTCCCACCATCACCGTCCGTCCCAGTTCAAGGGGGTTGAAGGTTTTCGAGTGCCCCCGTACGGCTCCGTAAGCGCCAGGTTATTGATTGGCATCCAGTCTCAAAGTCTCCATCCAGGCCTGCCCGCGTGGATCACGGATCATCAAGGAGTCTCGCTTGCGGGACAATAATGAGTCTCAGACGACGAGGAAACCCATCTTTTTGCTGCCGGTCTGCTTGTGCCACCGCAACATGACGCCTGTACCTTCTGGGATGCAGCAACTATTACGGTACACCCACAAAAGGAACCCACGACTCGGTGATCCCTTGACTTCCGTCCACACAACAAAAGGACTCAGCGCATCTAAGATCCTATATTAACGTATAATTGGATTCTGATAAGCGGGAAAATCTTGGGGGGGATTATTGTAGTGGATATTCCCGCACTGATAAGTTCTTGGAACAAGTTCACCGTCATCTCCAAAGGCAATATCCACACGAGGTGTAGCATTTTATTGGCGGTTAATGGTGATAGGATGTCGTTCGTAAAGGAGTGGGCCCCAGGACAACAGCCTCATGTTGGTCTGTTACAAATGCACTGTACGAAGTGAAAGCTGACCAGAACAAGCCTAGAAATTAAAGCTGGGTCTCAGCGCAATTCATGCTTCGGTGATGAATTATTCACGGTCAGAGACAAGAGGAGCAAATGCAATGCAAGGGAAGGTACGAGTACGGAGGTTTCGCTGTCGCACTACCAATAATGAAGCCGTCGAAATTGCCGTTATTTGTGGAAGATGGACCAAATCAGGCCTTTTGGCCTTGTGCTCGGCGGCAATCTATCACGACTCTGACCAAGAGGGCGCAGCTTTCGACAGAGAAATCGGCAATGTCACCTATCCAAATGAAGTGTGTAGGAATTTACATGGTGCAAGTAGAAGTACAAGTACTGTCCGCCAGGTCAACTGTAAATTGCGAATTGGAGCCAGACCAGCCACAGAATCCAGCATACGACCGTGCCGTAAGCGTAACGCATTTAGCTTGGCTTGCTGCCGCCAGAGAAGGTTTGGCCCTGCTGGTACTGTACTGTACTGTGTCTATACTCCGTACTGTGGCGTATTTATACACAGATCCTTGTGAGGGTCTGAGTTGATGGGAGGAGGCAGATAGAAACTGCCCTGAGGCGTTTGTTTAGAGCCCGGACCATATGATCCTGGGACACGCAGCCCTTGTCATCTTGGACTAAGCTTCATCATCGGAGGCGTGGTCCCAAAATGGAGCGCATGGACGGTAGCTAGACAAGGGTCTACTGCTCCACACCACCCAGGCAAGGTTTATCACGGAGGCACTCCGTGCCCTGCAACCAGGCTTGGCCAAATCCCTGCTGCAGCGCATGGCATTGGCACACTTCGATATCAACATCGGAACCAAACGAGAAACGGACAGAGGCCAAGGATGCTTCCGCTCCGCTACTCTGCTCAAATTCGGACACAAGTCGAGTCATACTGTAGTGCACTTCCACTACTCAAATACGGCAAGAAGAGAACGGTGCCAGAGAAAAGACAAGGAGAGAACGATGAACGAACATGTTTCCTATGATGTATCGAATCCGCGAACCCTCGATGTAGATTCCCTATGGTAGGAACTCCAAAGCCCTTGTGTTTGTATGAAGTAAAGACAAGTAACGAGAAGTCTTGATTGTGCGGAGTACCTTTTGCTTCAAACGTCGAAACGATGTTCCTTCCACCCCTGGTTATCAGTGGAGTGGCAAATTCAATAATTGGATCAAACCATCTGATCTGGAAGCTTTCACCGGCTCATCCATCGCGGCAGCTTTCACCCCACACTCTCACTATCCCTGCTCTCACTATCCCTGCTCTCACTATCCCTGCTCTCACTATCCCTGTATAGCTCCAGTCCCTTGGAAACAATCTGGACATGGGTGTCGTTTGAGACAAAGAGGGATGATTTGCTGGCGGAACGGAGTTGGCGAAAGTTGGGAAATTCTCAGTGGTTCTCCATGCTCATGTCACCAAGATGGAGAGATATTGAAGCACGTTAAAGCGGGAATCTTTGGGCATAAAGTGTCCGACAGTGGCCAACCAGGTACTGCAAAAGTACCAGTAGATGGGAACAGCTAAAGGCCGCGCAGGCTGCTGACCACATCGTTTTAGAAGTAGAGGCGTCGAACTTCCTGTCCTGGTCCTTCGCTTAAAGGGACTCAGGTAGTCGTCGATCCCATCACCCTTGTCTGTAGGGTCGATTTATGCGCTCGTTTCCAGAATCCAGATGACGAAGTGTTCCCTGTTGTCCGGTCTAGCACATGAGAGCCGTCATCTAGAGCCAATCATGCTCATGAGTTCTCGCATAATATCCGAGAGCTGGGTCTCACAACCTCACAGGGCAGTGCAAGGGTTGATGAGATTTGAACGTTTTCTCCTTACGAAAACGTCTGATCGTTGCCATGCGGGGGTCTTCAGGTGTCAGTCTGCAAAGCCTCCGGAAGACTAATCAGCCTCGTGGCCGCGAAGTAGTACTAAATTGGGATAAGCGTGCCTGCTTAAGCAAAGCAACTTTTGTACATTATTTTGTGCCACATCACACCCCACGGTGCCCACCTCCAACATCCCACACGTTGCAGGGTAGACGTCGTGTTCTGGAAGTTCGTTTTCATCCTCAAGCGGGTCCACGAGGTTGCACAGACTCCAGCCTTCTTCCTGGAAAGATGTCTTCAGCCTGAATGGTCGAACAAGATACTTCTATAAGGGGTCTCCATACAAACTGAGAAGAAGAAACGAATGCAGGTGACCGTGTGGTGCGATGATTCTGTACCAGGGCCTAAAGGGTAGTTGCTATCAGGTCGGTGTGACCGCCTCATACTATATGTTCTCGAGCATACCAATGTCCAAGTCCAGACCACCTTGGGAGAACCCGAATGGTTTCCTACCGGCGTAATTCGTGATGCCAGCTCTCGTGATCTCAAAATAGTGGTTTCTGGTGTTGGGTTAAAGAGATCTGGATGATGTGCATGGTAGACGGCACGGCTCCGACGCAAGGACTGCTTTCTCCCATGGTCTGGTACGAAGTAGAAGCTGGTAAGCTAAATTGTTGTTAAGCCATTAGGATTGAGTGTCCGGTGGCAGTGTGGCGCCTTCTGGTTGTCCGCGACGTAAGATTTCGGTTTCTTGCCGGCAGAAAATCTTGAAACTCTTAAAATGATACTACGAACCTGGAAGTATCCTTATCGGTGCAATCGGTTATCAGTCCATCAACGCTGCAGAGTCCCCGGGCCCTACTCCGTAATCCTGCTGCAGATGAGGTTAATGGGAGCTCGCGAGGTGTCAACACAAAGCTACCACCGTGATACCGTTTCTAATCGCTTTCGGGATTTGTGCTGCTGATCTCATCTTGATTTGTCCTTCGTAATCAATCCCTGGGTGATGACGGCGCTGCTGTGGAGCTGTAACGAGTAGCGTCGTGAAACGCCTGCTTGCAAAATGAGCAGAGAAGCACGCTTTCATCTCACGATCTCGCCAACAGGAAAACCCAGCTGTATCAAAAGCAGGCAGGCTTTACTTTGGATCCGAGACTTGGATTTAGCGCAAACTTGCTGAACGTGGCACACGACGCAATTAACACCCCACGAGTATCGAAACTTCGACAATACTTTCGTAACACCATTAAACTTAGGCCTTTCGTTGCCTTTTCCACCACTCCACATGGCTCAAATCGCTACGCTTGACACACGTTGGTCGTGCCGAATTCAGCGAGATGACAAGTCATTTACACGATCTGCATTTGTGATCGGAATCAGCTCATTCATATTTTCAAATCCTGGATCCATGAAGTTGGTCATTGAGGCGTGGCAGTTTCGGTCCTGTGTGTGTATACAAGTACTTCGTAATAAAATCTTCGGTCCAAGTCTCGGGTGCAAAATACTTTGGCACCGCATCCTGCCTCGTCCGCCAACCGCTCACTATTGTAACCACGAACAAACCCATGCTGCCTGGGGTACGCCGCGTTGCAGCTTGCAATTGCAACCTTCTGTTTACTACTTCGTACTTCAGTGCTTCGCCTCAGGCGAAATAGTTGTAACTTTCCTAGGGTGGCTAAGGTTGGCAACAGGGTAAAAGCCCCTGGAAAAGTTACAATTATTTCGCCTGGGACGGTACTTCGTAATAACAACGGCCTCCACTCCTCAGACGCTCTCAGGAGATGCCGCTTGGGAAACAATGCCCTGAGGATTGTTGGATAGAAGCAAGAGCGGTCGGTATCACAATCCCATTAAAATAGCACGCCGTCACTTGCATCGATATCTGATTGGGCAGAGCAGGGCATCAGGGTTGTGGTGGAGAGTACTGGCCGTGGACACGCAAGCTTTCCTCTGTATCGTGCAGAGGCAGGAAGCGGTGGTTTGAGTTCCTCACCATCCTTAGCTCAGGGCTCGCCGATCTCACTTCCAAGGTTGAAGGTGCCGACGATGCTCGTTCGGGAAGCTGATTCGCACAAGCCAGCTTGTGTTGCTTGCGAGTGTACCTGCTTAGATGATGCAAAGAGCCGGCGCAGTCAAGAAATTTAGGTGCCTTGAAAGACCTTCTACAGTGGGCTGCTTTGGGCTTCAACTGGAACTCATTATTATTGACTGACTGGTTGGTCAGAGAAGTTTGTTTTCTAACTTCCCTGACTTTTGAACATATATTATACCTCAAAGTGGTCGTACCATAGTGAGGTTAGAGTGTGACCGCCGCTTGCACAGAGAGAGAGAGAGAGAGAAAGATTGTGTTGTCTCTTGAACAGGCAGATGAGAAGGCTCGGCAGGGCGTATGACTTGTAGATCCCCATCCCCCAAAGCTTTAAACGGCGTGAGGTGTTTTGTTCCCTTCTTGGGACACACGAATTTCCGCAGCAAAGCACTCCACACATCGCAGATTATGGGGCAAGAACGCGGTATTACGAGGATCCTGTTGTCCGCCATGGCATCGTCTTTTGCCTTTCGCAAGCCTCGACCGCATCGATGCCGATTCACTTTTACCGCCGTCCCCATAAACCAGCCCACTCCTGAGGTCACGGCTAGTGTTTTCAGCTCTGTCGGTGTGAGGGGTTTTCACAAGTGTGCATTTTTTCCCTTTATTTCAGCGCAGCGTCCGGCCCCCTTCGGAGATGGTGTTGAGTTTTTCAAGGCTGGGAAAACGCAGGCCGTACTTCGTAGAACGGGATGTGGTTGGTTTTGTTGCTTGCGCTGCGGGGAATCCTTAGGTACTACTAAAAGGGCCTGGCTACCGCTGTTCAGTCCAGTTTTTGCGTTTTCCATCTTGCCTTTGTGGCTTGGTCTCTCGCCTGCAGAGGACTTGGATACTGGACATTTATCTAACACTGTACTCCGTACGATTATGTGAATTATTTGGTCAGGGCATATTTTGGTGTCTTGTTCAAGTGGCTGTCCGATATCGCGTTTTACGGAGTAGATAGCCAGATAACGCTGCAACAACCGGTACAGCACTCCTACTTCTACATCAATTCAAAGAAGTCGAGCTCAGCCACAGCCAAATACGTAAGACATCAGCAATCGTGGAAGGTATGTCCGAGAAGTATGGGCACGGCAGGCAGAGGCATATGACCAGGCACGCTGTAGTTGCTGGCAATATGGCATCCTACCGTGGTTGCAACCGTTTAAAGCGAGTCAGCCAACCCTCCATCGCAGAAGCATTCGACAGGCGGTTGAGTGGGTGGGAAAATTTGCTGGGGTGGGTTAGATTTTGGATCTTGCAGATGTCGAAGCATCCTATAGTGAGCTCCCAGGAGTTAGTGATGAGTGGTTGGTGACTACTGAACTAGAGCAATAATGGAGTAGCACGCTGAACCTCGACCACGATTTGTATGTCGTGTTGCTTCCAGGGGCCGGCAAGTAATGCTGTGTCTCTGGCCAGGCAGGCATCATGTCGAAAGTGAGCTCTGTTTCTCGCCATCCGTCAGCTTGTGCAGAAACACAGGTAGATGCGAGCGGGCGGCAGAGTTTTCGACACATCCACTATTATTGAGCGATAATAATGACAACGCGCGGGTGAAGCAGAAGCAAAAAAGGCAACCTGCAACATGTTGAAGATCCCATCCCCATCCCCATCCATCCTCATCCCCTGCCATCCGCTCCGCTCCCCTCATCCACCTTATTATGATTGTTATTGCGTGGGGCGAATCGCAACCTGCATTATTCTCATGGGTCGCGGCTTGCTATCTATGGTGGATGGAAAGTGCTTGCGACAGCCCTTCGCGCGCCCATACAATCTGGCGATTCGTGAAGCGGACATCGCGTCGCATCGCATCGCAGCCTTGGAAAGTGGTTGAAGGTGTCAAGTCGCGAGTTTGGTGGGTAGGGAGTGGGCACGACAACTGCAACATCACGCTGACCCGATTCCTCCTGCTTCCCGTTTGCAGCTCCAGGTTCTCGTGCTTTGGAATGGCGACTTGTCCTATATGTCTTGCCCTGAAATTTTCCCAACACCATCGGCTGCAGTAGTCATATCGCTTGGTGAGATGACATTGATACGCGATGCGTACTGCTTGAAAATCAATCCTAGGTCAATCCGGATGAAGGGCTCCTTGCTTCGTCACGCCGCTTCGCTGTCTCGCTGTTCCATTGATTTCCATTTCGGGCGTCCTTCGATATATTGATACATATGCCTTGAGTTTCCCGGTCGCGGGAGAATGAATAGACTCTGTCGTAAGGATGAGGGCCAGATGATGGTTGGATCTCAGCGGTTGGTCTGCTCTGCTTTCTCGCAGTGCACGAGACGAGTACCCGAGATGGCTTCGCGTCTTGGCTGGTCTGCTTATCGATAAGGTAAATATACCTAGGCTTTGGCGGGGTAGCTTTCGTACATCTGTATAACCCGGAGGTCGAGGTGGTCGTTGTTCTACGCCGCAAGACCTTGAGTAGCGCAACTATCTGTCTGGATGGCTTCAATTGAGTTGCTCCTGTCATCTTCGCGTTTGACGGTCCTTGCGGCGATGGTTCCTGTATGCATTATGTCTTGCGAGAGTCGTAGAGGATTGAGGTGTTGTGCTGTGTAGGGCGCGAGGGGCGTTGGAATGGCAACGGCGTTAGCTCGGAGCTTCTGAATACCATCCCATCGCGAACCATATCATACCATACCATGCCGCCCTTTGTAGTCTCCTTCAACCCTCCAAACCTCACCAGGCTCTCAGCAGCTTCCGCTCCTCCCAATCTCCATCACCATCACCATCGACATGTCTTTGGCTGCTCCTCCACCTCCCACCATTTCTCTGTCTGTCCAAGACCAACTAGATGAAGCCAGGCCACTCAGTCCCCACGACGATGTCAGTTCGCCTCCTTCATCGCCTCCTCTACACCTTCTGCCCCCTCTGCCCCCTCCTACTACCTCTTCCCCTATTCCCTCTTTCCCCCTCATTACCCATACCATGCCATACCAATAGTCCAGCCGGGATTAGACTACTGACATCCAATGGAGGGACATTCCAGTGCCAGCGACAATGAATACCAACACGCGCTCGAAGTAAGTCTTCCCATGCAAGCAATTACCCGAATATCACTCTGATTCCCTTCATAGGTCGTCTTCGATCCTCAGAATGCTCATCGTCGGAAATCGTCTCTAGTGTCCTCCGAAAATATAATTCCTTATCGGAAAACCGATTGCTTTGTCCATTCCCTGTTAGAGAGCCAGCGGAAATTGGGATCGGGGTTGTATAACAAAGGCTTGCAAGGCATTGCCGAATCATTAGCCAGCAGTGTCAACGGAGAATGCGTTGACAAATCAGGTGAGGATGTTTTGGTAGCATCCAAGGACCTGAACAGTCCTGATAAATCTGAAGATACTACATCAGGTCAAGAAGACGAACAATCGTGGAAAGACCGTGTTGCATCCAAACACATCAAGCAAAAGGCGATCAACGGCAAAGAATTGCACATTGACCCTGTAAATGATGTAAATGCTGTCCACAGCCGCCTGCTCACCAAGAAGCAGCTCTCGGATATGGCGTGGGGTGTGCGAGAGCTAAGCAAGCGCTTAGGAAGCATCAGGTTGAAGCTCAGGGTGAAAACGGTCTTTCTACTGACCAAAGTGTACGATGAGGGTCTCATCCAGAATACCAGAGAAATTGTCAAGTGGCTATTGAGTCCAGATCGACAAGTCAGATACACCGTTTACGTGGAAAACACCTTGAAAGACAACAAGAAATTCAATGCTGCGAGTCTCCTGGCAGAAATTGATGACGAATACTCCAAAAAAGAAATCAGCCAGGAAGAGAAAAGGCTGGACAGGAGGTTACGGTACTGGACCAATGAAATGTGTAGAACGAGGCCACATACATTCGACTTTGTAGTCACTCTGGGTGGTGACGGCACAGTTCTATACGCAAGTTGGCTATTTCAGCGAATAGTCCCGCCAGTCTTGAGTTTTGCGCTTGGAAGTTTGGGTTTCCTGACCAAATTCGATTTTGATGACTTCCGAAATACATTAACATCAGCTTTCAAAGATGGTGTTACCATCAGTTTACGGTTACGTTTTGAGGGAACTGTCATGAGAAGCCGAAATCAGCGTAGAAGAATATCTGACGGAGAGCCCCAGGACTCGGAGCCGCGAGACGAAGATATCGACAGGAGCCGAGATCTTGTAGAAGAACTGGCCGGAGAAGAGAAAGGAGATGACAGAACCCATCATCCGGATGGTACTTTCGAAATTTTAAATGATATTGTGGTTGATCGTGGACCAAATCCAAGTAACGCACATCCTATCAATGTCGAATCCAATGCTAATCGTTCAATAGCAATGTCTTCCACCGAGATATTCGGCGACGACGAACATTTTACATCGATACAAGCTGACGGCGTATGCGTAGCAACACCAACTGGGTCAACAGCATACAACTTGGCAGCAGGAGGTTCTCTTTGTCACCCCGAGAATCCTGTCATTCTAGTGACCGCTGTTTGTGCGCATACGCTATCCTTCCGACCCATCATTCTGCCTGACACAATCGTTCTTCGAGTTGGGGTTCCGTACGATGCTAGAGCGAGTAGTTGGGCTAGTTTTGATGGCCGAGAAAGAGTTGAATTGAGACCAGGAGATTATGTTACTATCAGCGCGAGCAGATATCCCTTTGCGAATGTCATGCAGCAAGGGAGACGATCTGAGGATTGGATTAATAGTATTAGTGGCAAGTTGGGCTGGAACTCTCGACAACGCCAGAAGAGCTACAAGGAGTGGTCTAAGTAGTCAGCCATTGTGGCTTTAATTTTAATTGCAGCCATTGAATTACCAGTTTAGAGGGTGGGAAAACATGAGGAATTAATGGCAAATACCAAAGGCGTAAATTCACGTCTCAATGCCTACTCAGCGTGTTTTTTTCTCGGGTTTAGAATGACATCTCGTGCCAGGGACAGTATTAACTTCAACTTCAACTTCAACTTCTCATCGTTCATTCCTGGGCGCTTTACCGTTTCTTATTTTAGTGATGTCAATATACTCACCTATCTTGTTCTAGGTGAACAATGGTAATAGTTTTTGGCACTATGTGTTTTCGGATTTATTGTGAACTAGGTCTAGTTTTCCCTCACCTTCTGCGCCCACTTCCGAGCTTTGCGAGGAGTAATTAAGCAAGCTACCAGCTCCCTTTACAATGCAGCCTCTAAGCGGGAACAAGTGATACTGGTATTCTTTTATTGATTCTTAGAATTATCTTGCACCACTCTTTTGAACTCAATTGGAATCCTGAACTTACCACGATACCTAGGTAGCTACTTTTGACTACATACCCAAATCACGTGTACGACGGTTACTGCGCCCTTATATCATCATCCTCACCGTCAATACCGCACCAAGTTCCTTCCTTCAACTCGCAACCGAATTATGAACCGCTCAAAGTTTTTCGTTCAAATTCGCATATCAAGGTACTGAGGTGAGTCATGAGCAATCCCATTTAAGGATCCACCCTGCTCGTTCTGTGACTTCTTTCTAGCTCAGCCTCAGCTAACTTTGGTTTCACCTCTCTTAGGCCTAACATATGAGTCTAATTGTCAAGTCTTACCTTGGTAGCACTGGTGCCAAAAGATCTGTCAGAAATACAACTGTTTCTGTATAATTCACCGCTCGGGGGCCCAATTTCATCAAACGCCAGAGCCTACCGGCAATAAGGTAAGCCAATGCATTGCCCTTTCCCCTTCTGCTTGACTCTCATAGTACATTTTGCAATCAGGTGGGCATTTTCTACCTATTGTCTATATATCTTTCTTGGCAGTCTTAGTTATCTGTCAGATATGAGAACTTCACTCTCCTTTGCTTATGCTAGGCTTTCAAAATGCTAAATTCACCCTATGTAATAATGTGTTCAAAGACCATTCCTCCTGTACCTGAAATATTTTGTGTACCAGTCATTTCTGAGTCTCATAAACAGAAAATACTATCATATTTCTAGGCCGTGTCCACTGCAAAGTTTCGTTTGCAACAATAGCATATTCAAATAAGGACTTGCTGACATTCTCCAAGAAACCCCTTCCGTGGTCCTGGTTTGCAAGTATAGAGAAGGGATACTCGCCCACAGGTAAATTTCGAATATAATCTTTCAGATCTTGGATATCCTTCTTAGTATTATTGACACAGGCTCCTCCAGTCATACGTTCAAACTGTTATTCCTATTGTCAGCATTCATACAATCGATCACAATCAGAAGCAACATCTAAGCCCCGGCAGAGTAGCCGATGAGTAGTCGTTCAAGACCACAGTCATACTAGGCATATTTCCTTTTCACCAAACACCAACATCCAGATCGATCCGCAACGTTACTACAGATCTAGCGCACAGCTTTCTCCTAAAACACCTCTGACTTTTACTGAGATAGCACCACATAAGACTTAATGCCGTAGCCAAGGGTAGCTACTCAAAGTCCGGAAAGCTGCGCGGCTTTTAATGATTAACGACTTTATTGATGGGAATCACACAGCCAGATTCACTTCCGCGACCCACCGAAACCGGTGTGTACCTTTCCATTCATCTCTACTTAGTGTCCTAAGATCATCATCACACTTCGCCTCCTCGTGATTCCCAGCAAGTGCTGGTATTCTCTACCACTGATACTTTATATAACAAGACAAAGCACCTCTATTATCCACGGGCGCCTTGTTAGCATTAAGCATCACCGCAGCCAATTCGAATCTTCAATAAGAAACCCCTTCTTTAGATCCTCATATTGGTCCAATCACTTTTTTATTCATAAAATACTACACATCAAAATCCTCGAGTCTTCGACTCTTAGGTTCAGGCGAAAGGTTGAGTTGCTCCCTGCGTATTTCTTAGAGTCATTCTGTTCCTTCTTTCCAGAGTTAGTTGTTTTTCTTGCTTCTCCTCTCCAAGTAACACAAGTGTGTGTGTTGTATTTAGGTGATAAAGTCAGAAGAGCTTTCTTGAGTAAAGTGTTTCTTCATTCGATCACTGTTTTTCAAGCTCCCGAAAGAGTCATTGTTTTCAATCTTTTCGTAGTTTCTGCTTCATCGATTTCACACGTCATTACCGTTCAAGACGCAACTTCCCGCTTCGAACCAGAGCCGGTGACTTTAGCGCGACGGAGGTCATTTCTTTTTCTTTTCTTCTTAAAAGATCTTCACAAGTTATTATGACATTTTTTGGCGCCCTTGAATGATCCACTAACTCCATTTTAACAGATTTGGTGTCATATTTGCCTTTCTTTAACAGAAAGGCGTTACAGAAGTTACAAACTCGTTACGATCATTTGTTCATTGCTACACTGCCACCCCAAGAACATTTAGAAAGGTCGCTCATCTGAGAACCGGAGAGCCGTCACCCCGAGTACCTTCAATTGTTGAAGGCATACTCGTTTTCGATTCATCAAATTACTTCATCACTCTCTCCTTTTCCGCTTACAGAATGACAAAAATGGCAGCAGCCAGACGCTCACCCCGAACAATTGCCCGCTTCAACCATAATTTCTTAATCTGTGATTCTCAGGATATTACAGCCACGGTTCTCTCTCTTGCAACGTGCACAGGCTGGAGCGCCGATCACATTTCTATCACCATTGAAAAAGAATTCAATCTGAAATTCACCCCGGAACATATCTGGGATTTCCACAGTCATTGGATAACCACTCGGAAACGTTTTACTCAAGAGGATCGTGCGACTATGTGGTGGTTAATGAGATGTATTGGTGTACACTGTCTACAGATCGCTGCAAAACCTTTGAATATGACGCCGAGACCTATTTCGGTGGAATTTCAGCCTACTTGGAGTCCAAAGGTAAATTTCTTTCTTCCCTCTCGTCTTTGCTTTGTATTTTGTATTGATAGTAGTTTATTGTGATGCTAATGAACACAGAATAACCACGGCAGAGAACTTTGTCCTGGCTTCTCACCTTTCGCTCGGGAATCCTCGAAACTGTGGATGATGAAAGAAAATACAACTACCATGTACGGCAAACTTACTCCCTCTGAAGAACCCATTATCCAACGTTTTGGCCCCGACCTCTACCGCGTTGTCAGGAAGTGTCTCCGTCGCTGGTCCGCCGCCATGCTCTCTCTGCTTGATGCCCAAGATCAGGAGAGAAAATTTGCACCCATTAATGAGAAAGTGCAAGTTGATCTCATCATGGATTACCTCCGTTATTTCCAGCACAAATATGAGAAGTACTGGGGTATCATGGAGGAGATCCGTGGTGCTAGTGTTGGAGAGGGATTCTTGCCAAGGGAACAGGCGGTGCATATCAATAGTACGGGCTATGGTGCAAAGGTTCTTGTTGGCTTGCTGATGGCAGATCGGTTGCATGTCGTGGATAGACTCCGATTCAACGAGCGGGCGAAGATTGGATATCGGGAAATCAAGCCTGCGGATTTGAAGGAGAACTGCAAGGACTGTGCAATTTGTCAGGAGAAGATTGGAGAAGGGAGTGTAGAGACCGGAGAAGTGGCCGATGAGGTTGCAGTGGAGTTGGTCATTTGTTGTGGTAACACGATCGGTATGACTTGTTTGAGGGAATGGTTGAAGCCCAATGCTGGGAACGGGACTTGTCCGATTTGCAGACATCGCTTCTCGCCAGACTTCTGTCAGAAGCTTATGGAGGGGTATGCCGATAAGGAGTTAGCTGAGCGGAACGAGAAGAACTTGGTTGAGCAATCTATAGTTGACCTTCGTAGTCCGTCGCCAGCGATGCCAGACCCTGAGAATATCAGAGGTGATCGAGGGCACGAGATAGAAAGTGGTGTTCTCCAGAGTTCTCACGACACGGTAGAGGACCACCCCCATGACGCTATTCAGGATATGGTCGAAGAAGCGTCAGTCACGAGCCAAACCGAACGCAATATCCTCAGACTCCGTGAACACATGGAAGTCGAGTATGAAGAGAACCTTCAAGAACAGATCATCCCCATGGAGCTCGATCCCCCACCTCAATTACCCTCCATCTTACCCGTAGCCGAAGTTGAAATCTAGCTCCACGTCGCGACATCAGATATCGATCACAATCCAGACCATCCTTGATTGATACACAAAGTGAAGTGATGCAGAAAGCACGCAACTGTGTGCATTTGGAGGATTTATACGGACGCGATATATGGACGCGATGGTCGTTATTGTTTTGTTATATTGAAAGGATGGATGGTGTTTATAGATTTTGCAACGATCGTTGGATTTACATACATCTGGGTGAGCATTGGATTCAGATCGAGATCAAGAAGTGCCTTTGAGACTTTCGACTGCTACACGGGCACTTTGCACATATATTGAGAGCTACATTTCTTTGCTTCGTCTCCTCCCGATAGATGGATGGGGGGGGGATGTGATTCGTGGATTTTCATGGGGTAGTATACTAAGAATACAGATTTTGTTTACTTAGTTGCGTAGGGAATGCAAGTGATAAACAATAATAATGGGGTGTGAAGATTTACCAGTTCTAAATATTGAAACCACCCGTACTGCCAATGGGGTCTTAGCTGATTATTAGAAGATATGAGAACTAACCCCAACCCTGCCTCATCTTAAGTGTATAGTGCACAAAAAACTCACTTCGTTTCCCTGTATGTAATGCCATTAAACACCACTTACTCACCTTACCTATTGAACATATCCTAGAACCCCTGATATAAGTCACTATATCCTATACTTCCCTATTAATCAATAAACCATCCACTTTTTCTCGACAGCACTACTAGTCCCCAGCCCAACCCGATAAATTCTAGGTGGAGAGCGGATATTTCGCCAAACCCAGAAACACCACTTTCCAGGGTATATTCGGAAAGAAGAAAAGCATCTTTTGCGACACATATACCGCCCAAGCACTCGCGTCCTTAAACAAGTCTCTTTCTCACAAAAGTAGAGGTTCCTTCCCTCTCTCAATTCCCAAGTCTCGGAAGTCGCTAAGAGCCTAGAAGCTACAGTAAGCATTAAAACCTAGATAAAATAGACTTATCCCCACGCTTGCTCGTCCCTCATCCCGTGGGAAGGGAAGTAAGAATTTCTCTGCTACCTTTTTTGAAATGCTCATTAGTGAAGGGTGGCTAGATTCGAAGTATAGAGAACAAGTCTTTTACAAAATTGCGTGGAGATGCGTTTATATGTTTACACTATATTGCTTGCTTGCTCGCTCGCTTAGAAGTTAGGGGTGTGGGTGGGGTGGCTTTGAACCTTGGTTAAGCGAGACTACTGTAAGTGAGTGGTATTTGATCAAGGGAAACCGCATCTTTTCAGTTGAATGCAAGGCAAATGTCGATTCTCTCGAACTCGGGATCTGGATACAGGAGGTGATGTGGTGGGAGCTAGCCCTGCGTGTATTATTGGTGTCTGGCCTTTGGGATCTGCTATGTGAAGTTCTTAGTGTGGTTGCGTTCATGACATTATTCTAGTAAGATCGCGAATTTAGGTACTGTACTGTATACAAGTACAAGAGTATCTTCCACCGATTAAAGGCGACCCATGATTTTTTGCCGGAAAGGTCATCTTGGTTGAGTGTTGCATTTCCTGTTGCCGGGGCTGGGTTAACCACCATGCACCGAAGGTCAAGTTAGGAGTTACTTAGCTCATCCACCTAATCCCTGATCACCGGCCTGATAACCACAAGTAAGCAGATTTCTTACATCTTTCTCAACTGGACATGCCATACTGGCAGTAGTCACGGCGTCAGCTTGTATATGTATTTCTCCGTGCTAGGAGCACCTGTGAATGAATAACTCGGCTAGTATTACCAGATATACTACAAAGACCTAATCTAGGAAGAGACTTTAGGAGTCTACTTGTATAATCGTCCACTTAGTACGGGATAGGGGTAGATGTAGCGATACCGCAAATACGTACTAGTTTATAACATACACCCTTAGCCGAGACTCCTGTCCAAGCTGTCTTTACTACCTAACTAGTCTAACTCGGTTACCTAGGTAGATACCTAGTACTCTAGAGGCTCCTACTCGTCACGGTCGTCTTATATTAGAGCTGGTCCCCTTTGCCTTTAGCTAGATTCTCTCTCTATCACTTATCTATTCCACATCATAAGCTAGCCCTCGTCTTCTGACCGTCTTCTAACGCCTAATATGTACTAGTAGCTCAAGTATACAAACACTACTTATACCGGGGGCTAAGTGTAACGAATACTCAAACTGGCTAACTAAACTTGGCTGGGTGTTCGCTGGTTGGTATGCTATGATAAGAAGAAGACTATCGGGTTGTTCACTTGGAAGTGAACTCGTTACTTGTATCAAAGATGTCAAACTAATATGATAAGATTGATAACTAAGTTGAGCACAAAGCTCCTATCTAATGGCAGACGTGCCAGTCCTATATAGAATCCTCATTCCTATGATCGCTGCTGGTCGCCGCGATCAAGACGACCTGGCCGTTGTAGTCGCTCGCGACCAAGCGACCACTACTGGTCACGTGATAACAATACAAAGAAATCCCTGGATCGCTTAGCTACTCCAAACGATCCCTATTTGCTATAAGAAACCTGGATGTGCCTGTCGAGGGTTGCGCCTCTTATTATGATAAGTATCACGTGAGCACGTGATTCGTGACCATAAGGTACTATAATTCCTAGCCTCTTATACTATATAATAGAAATCGCGAACTGTAATAAAATTAATATAGCGGTTTTTATAAGATTAGCTTTTAGTATATAAATCTATTATACTAAGGTTTAGCTACTATATTAATTATACTAACTAGTCTTCTAGACTTAGGAAACTACTTTATAGGGGTAGTATATATCTATAGTATTACTACTAAAGTAGGCTAGATTATAAAAGTATAATTCCTATATAAGTTTTACTAACTAAATTTTTTAGATTTAGTAGCCTATCTTTTAAGCTAGAGAAACTACTTTATAAAAATAGTATAAGCCTATAGAATTACTACTAAAGTTGACTAGACTAGAGAAGTTTAACTCCTATATATATTTTCTAAACTAATTTTTTAGATTTAGTAGGCTAACCTTTAAACTAGGGAATCTACTTTATAAGAGTAATATAAGCCTATAGAATTACTACTAAAGTAGGCTAGAATAAAGAAGTTTAACTCTTATATATATTTTCTTAACTAATTTTTTAGATTCAGTAGGCTAACCTTTTAACTTAAAAATCTACTTTATAAAAGTAGTATTCAGCTATAGAATTACTACTAAATTAGGCTAGATTATAGAAGTTTAACTTTTATATAAGTTTTACTAACTAAATAGTTTAACTCTTATATAAGTTTTATTAATAGAATTTTTAGATTTATAGGCTAGTACTTTAAAATTTAGAAATTAATTTATAACTAATATTTTATAAATATAGTATAAGTTGTCACGAATCACGTTCTCACGTGATACTTGTCATAATAAAGAGGCGCAACCCTCGACAGGCACATCCAGGTTTCTTATAGCAAATAGGGATGCTTAGACTAGCTAAGCGATCCAAGGTGTGACGACACGGCGGTGAGAACCGTCACACAAGGATTTCTCGTGTATGTAGTCACGTGATCAATCGCATCGCCTGTATCGACAGTCGATGTTAGCGATAGGAGGTCGACTACATCGACAGGTGATGTTAGCGATAGGAGGTCGACTACATCGACAGGTGATGTAGGCGATGTAGAGAGAACGAAGGTTCTATATAAGACTGGCACGTCTGCCATTAGATAGGAGCTTCGTGCTCAACTTAGTTATCAATCTTATCATATTAGTTTGACATCTTTGATACAAGTAACGAGTTCACTTCCAAGTGAACAACCCGATAGTCTTCTTCTTATCATAGCATACCAACCAGCGAACACCCAGCCAAGTTTAGTTAGCCAGTTTGAGTATTCGTTACACTTTGAGCACCTGCTTTAAGTCGAAACTATCACCATGGCTCCCACCACCCCGCCAGCAGCAGGACCGGCCAGCCCTTCGGCTAGCCGAGTCAACCTCCCAGGGACCTCAGGAGGAACTGCTACGACAAACCTCAACACATCCCAGGCAGCCAACAAGCCTGACGACGACAATGTCAGTATGCCGGATGCACCAGAACCTTATAAGGTCGAAGCACTCGAGACTATTCGGGTCAAGATGCCCGACACTTATCACGGAAAACGACAAGGACTTGACTCGTTCCTACTCCAGATGGACATCTATTTCAACTTCAACTCGGACAAGTTTGAAGGAAATTACAACTCCCAATCTATCTTTGCTGTCTCTTATCTTAGGGGACCAGCACTCGAATGGGCCCAGCCCTACCTCGAAGACTTCTTCAACAACGAAGACGAGGACGGATCAATGGAGATGACCAAGAAGATGTTCAAGTCCTGGAAAGGATTCAAACAGGCTATTCGCCGAGTCTTTGGAGACTTCGATGCTGTCCGTACTGCGGTACGCAACCTCTTGGGTTTGCGACAAACCGGATCAGCTATCGACTACGCCAACGAGTTCCAGCGTTATGGGAACAAATCAGGGTGGGACGCCCCTGCACTCATGGAATTATTCCAGAGGGGACTCAAGACGCATCTCCGCGAGGAGATGGCAAGACAAAATATGACTTTCCCAAACATCACAACTATGATTGAGACCGTTATCCAGCTAGACAACCGTCTCTGGGAATTCAGGAAGTCATCCCCGAAGCAGGAAAGTCAGTCCAAGGGACACAAGTGGTGGAATCGTTCCTATCACGGGAAGAACCGTGAAGTGAATGCCGCTGAAGGAAGACCCTTCCCGCGGGAAGGAGGCCTTTCCCAGGAGGAACGCAACCGAAGACGTGAGCAGAACTTATGTTACTCTTGTGGCAAAACCGGCCATCGAGCAAACGAGTGCCGCGTGAAGGGTGCGAAGAAACCCTGGAAAGGAACGAAGCAGGTCAACGCCACATGCAGAAAAGAGATAGCCTGGCTCGAGAGAAGAGAGTTGACTAGCAACGAACTCGAGGAGATGGGGATCCACACCCAACTCGAGGATGATCCGATACTTAGCGAGTATTACGCCACGAGATCAGACG